GAACCCAAAAGTCATCACATAAAGCTTCTTTGGAATTTTTAGGTTCCAGTTTAGACACATAACATGCAAAATGACACATACCAGCTATTTTACGAAAGTCAGGTTTGACACCTCTAGTATTACGCTCAGTGATTCCTCCTATGATCTGGTCCTTAGGATGATCCCTCTGAACTTTGGCGGGAGGATCGCGCCTAGATTCAGGTGGAATTCCAAGGGTCGTAGGAACACTATACTCATTAACAATTACATGTTCATCACAATCAAGTGTTTCAGTCTTGACTTCATTCAACACACTTCCAGATTCAGATTTAGACACCACCTCATTATTCGACACATCAAGTTTAGACACATCAGGCATCATGACACATTCAAACACATCATCAAAAACCACATTAATGGACTCCATGACTACTTCAGTTCGCAAATTATAAACACGAAATGCACGACTGTTGGTAGAATAACCAAGGAACTGACCTACATCACTTTTAGACTCAAATTTACCAAGATGATCTCTGTCATTGTAAATATAGCACCGACATCCAAATATATGAAAATATTTCACATTAGGTGCTTTACCTTTCCACAATTCATAAGAGGTCAGCCCGGTTCCTTTCCTACAATACACACGGTTAGTTATATAGCATGCAGTATTAACCGCCTCGGCCCACCATCTCAAGGACATATTCTGAGAGACAAGCATCACTCTGGCCATTTCCTGAAGAGTCCTGTTCTTACGCTCCACAACTCCATGCTGCTGTGGAGTGATTGGAGAGGAAAACTGATGAAATATCCCACGAGATTCACAAAAAAGTTCAAAACCACGATTCTCAAATTCCTTACCATGGTCACTTCTGATGGCAACAAGATTGGTTCGTTTTTCATTCTCAAGTTTCAGCACGAGGTTTTTAAAAACATCTAGTGCATCAGATTTATCTTTTAAGAAATCAACCCAAGAAAATCTAGAGTAATCATCCACACAGACAAGAATATACTTCTTACCACTGTAACTTTCAACCTGAATTGGTACCATCAAGTCCATGTGCATCAGTTCCATTATCTGGTTCGTACTGACCTTAGTCAACCTCTTATGGGACGCCCTCTTCTGTTTGCCCATTTGACAAGATCCACACACCCGTGGTACTTCCTTTTTCAGCTTGGGCAATCCTCGAACAGCCCCTGTAGAAGAAAGTTCAAGCAAATGAGGATAATTAATGTGTCCTAACTTTTGATGCCATAGTTCAGTCATATCAGTACTGGTTTTATTGCACTTCAAATCAAATTCCACAAGATAACAATTATCCCTGGACCTAGTACCAGTAAGAACATGTTAGTTTTCTTGATCAGACACACGACACTGAGTTTTAGTAAAATTCACATACAGACCCTGATCACACAATTGACTAATACTCAGAAGATTAGCCTTCAAGTTTTGAACCAAAAGAACATTTTTAAGTTTAGGCAGACCAGGAACATTCAAGCACCCTATTCCAAGAACCTTATTCTTAGCTCCATCACCAAAGGTGACTGAACTAGACGAAACAGGCATAATATCAGTCAAGTTGGATTTCAACCCTGTCATGTGACGAGAGCATCCACTATCAAAGTACCAGTCAGAGTTAGAAGTGGATTTCAACGCAAATATAGACGACAGACAGACGTTCTTATTTACCTTTGGAACCCAGATCTTTTTCTGTTCACGATTTACTAAATCAATTTTGAGTTTAGGTGCTTTCAAGGGAACACCATGAGGACTCCAGTCACTAATTTGACCTGTATATATATCATTATGCATTCTGTAGCACTTGGGGCGAATGTGACCTCGAATCCCGCAGTAGTGACACACAGGTACAAAGTTCTTACCTGAATCTTTGTGTGGTGCTTTTGGAGAGTTTAGCTTACCCTTTTTGGGGTCAAGTGAGTATCCCTCTTTAACAAAGGTCAGACCTTCTTTACTCAGTGAGATGTCTGATTCTCCAACCTTCCCTTTCAGTTTCTGATTGTGGAAATTCTTACTCGGGTTAGATGAACCAAACTGCTGGCTTAGTCTTTGAACTTCAAAGCTTGAGTTTAGGTCTCTCCAAAATTCTTTGCCTCTAACGCAATCCCTGAAGATGTGTAACAGGGTTTCCTCCCCTCCACAGAAGTGGCGCAGGAGTTGTCGTCCGCCAGATGAGGTTCTGGGTTTGTTAATCATTTTGACAACTTCCTCACTTTTACCTAGCCTCTCTTCAAGGGTAGAGCAATGACTTCTTAGTGTCATGTGTTCCTCCATCAATTTCCCGAGTTCCTCCTTGAGTACAGCTATCTCAGTTTCTCTCTCACCTGCAACATTTTGCAAAGCAAACAATTCGTTACGTAAGTTTTTAATACTAAAGTTCTGCTCGTCACTTGCCTGCTTATTAAGCTTATCCCCATGTTCAACCAAAGCAAGTTTTGCAAGACAACTATTTAGATCCTTATCCTGCTTTGCGATGTGAAGGTCCAATTTAATGAGCTTCTCGTTTGAATTAACAGTCATCACTCTCATCTTTTGAAGCTCACTCCGAAGATAATCAATCTCTTTCTCTCGTTCGCCAGATCGTTGTTCCATAACCTTCATCTTCTGTTTTTGAGCATGGTACTTATTGATGATGTCTCTTGCCTTGAGACACTTTTCAATGGCGTACTTGTGAAGTACAAGATTCTCGGCAGCTGGGTCCGAAAACTCATCAGAATCCACTTCGCTCAAGTTTTTCGCATAAGAACCTGCATCAGATTCAACATCAGTTAGATGAACAGAAGAAGTAAAACAGTTATATTCATTAAGAAGACATTTAGCAGAGTTATTTGAGTAGATAGAATTCTCAATTGTTTCACGTTCTTTGTCCTCATCGTCACTGGAATCAGACCACGTAGCCTTGAATGTCTTGTTCTTCTTCTTGAAATTAGGACATTCCTTTTGAAAATGTCCAAAGCCTTTGCATTCACGGCACTGGTCCTTCTCTACTCCTTGATTAGAGTTCTGAAACTTGTTCAGCTGCAAGCCATAACGCTTTTCTCCAAATTGCTGAATTTGGTTCCTACCACCATCAACCGACCTATTACCCTGAAACCTCTTTTTCTGAAATTTCTTCAGCTTCGAAACATTTTTGGTGAGTACAGTAAGCGCCTTGGTGATTTCATCAGGATCAAAGGATTCCTCATCAGATTCATCATCTTCAGCTACTGAGGTTCGAACCTTGGCCTTTAATGCTAAGCCTTTTCCTTTGCTTATCCTCATAGAGTCAAAACCATGATTGATTTCAAAGGTACGAAGTTCACTGAGGAGATCATCAATGCCCAGTTTCTGTATCCTCTGAAAACTCTCAAGTGTTGTGATCTTGATCACAAACCTATCCGGTAGAGTTCTCATTAATTTCTGTACTTGTCTAGCCTCTGGAACCGGTTCACCAAGCATCGCACTTTGATTGACTAGGTCGCAGAACCGAGCATAGTACATATCAATAGTTTCATCCTCCCTCATGCGAATCTCATCTAGCTCGGTGGAGACTCTTTGCAGCTTTTGAGGTTTTTACGGCATTTGTACCCTCAAATTGTCTCTCCAAAATCCTCCAGGCTTCTTGAGCGGTAGTGCACTGAATGATTATTTTATGACGAGTTGGATCTACTGCAGACATGATAGCATACAGAGCACGGAAGTTCGCTTCTTCCGCTTGTTTATCATCGTCAGTCTAAAGACTTCTTGGTTTTTCAACAAGAACTTGAGTGGCAGAAATAGACGACTTTGTATCCGAAGATTCACCTTGTTTAGTTTCAGCAGGAGATTTTGGCATAAGTGGTATCGACCATCCTGATTCAACAGCCTGCCATGTGCCTTAACCAAGGGAACGAAGAAAAATCACCATCATGGATTTCCAGTAAGCATAGTTTGCTCCATCAAGGAACGGAGGGCGCGAAACAGACATTCCATCGTGACTCATGGTGACCAACACACAGTCCCAAAGATCTTTATCCCGTAGTTAGAACAGGAACACTGCTCTGGTGCCAATTGAAACGTATATTTGTCACGGAGTGCGCTAATAGTAGTACGAACTAAGACAATAATTGTAAAATGCGGAAGCAATCAAACCGAAGATTAATAAACTCTTCAGGGAAGCATCCCACTTCCCCTCAGAGCTCTTTCATTGATAGATCACTCATGAACATAGTTTGGTCTTACAAAGACTTGAACTCCCTTCAAATCTAGCCAACACTACTCTCGATCCTATCAACTAATTCTCCGGCCACGTCCCGTGGACTTATAAGACAACACTTACTCCCTAAGTGTATAAACTGTAGAAGCGTTTTGATGAATGAATAAAAACTGAATAAAAAGCAGCTTCAGTCCTTGAGTATGTAGGAACTCTCAGACTGAACTGAATACAACTTGAACAGAATATAAAACGAAGCTTTTAATTGCTCTGAGAAAATATCTTTCTAAACACATGCGCACGCAGGAAGCTTCTTCCAGGGTATATATATGAACTCCTTTTAGGGTTGGAGTCTTCTACAAGGCATAGGACTTTAAACAAGATTTCCTTCCAAAGGTGTAGTATCTTTGGCAAGAAAATCTTCTACTCTCTCTCTTTGATCTCCTCACCATACACGGCTCTTCTCTTCCTCTTCTTTATCTCTTCACGTCCAATTCCCTATATTATCCAAAACCATAATAAGATCTACACAGACTTATTCATGGAATATAAAATAAGATTACTTAAGGAAATATAATATGTAAAGATCTCCCCTTTATTCTGTGGTTCCAGGTGCTTGTTCGAACTAACGAACTAATGCCAAAATAAAATATCTTTCACCCAATAATAATAATGAACAACAACAAAAAAGTACAATAATCGTTTAATTTAGTCTCATTATCATACAACAAAAAAACCAATTGTGACAATAAACAACACATGCTAGCTAGCTAGCTAGGACTAGGAGCGCATGCAATATTAATTTGCCAAGTCACGTGCTCTACGTTTTGCATGCATGCAGGGGCACACACGATAGGGCTAGCCCAGTGCTTCTTGTTCCGGGGCAGAATCTACAGCAACGGCACTGACATCGACCCCAACTTTGCAACCACAAGGAGACGCACGTGCCCTCAGTCAGGAGGGGACACGAACCTTGCCCCGCTCGACCTCGTGACTATTGAAAATACATCATAAACATTTTGGATCTTCGCAAACAAAGGAAAATGAAGAACAAATTTCAGAGGCGCCGATGTTCATTCACGTACACAAGAATGTTTGATAGGTTTTACATGAGCTAAGAGAAAATATATATATACACATCAAGGGAGGATAATGTGGACAAGTGTCCATAATTTGAAATCAATCCTACGGTTCTAATAATTCCAAACTGTGAGTTTGATCACTTCCTGCAGCTTTAAGGTTGGCAGCTTTGTCTTGTTTGCATGTCCATGCTGGCTCGTCATTTTGCATGAGTAGGATATGCTTTTTCTTTGACTTAGTCCACAGCTGCTTTTCTTCAATATTGCTAACACTCCCCCTCAATCCAATCGAGCTTTTACTTGTGACTCCCAGTTTATTTTTAAGTCGAGAGAAGGATTGCAATGAAAGTGTTTTGGTAAGAACATCACTTACCTGTTCAGCTGAGGGGATGTGACACACTAACAAGTTTCCTTTTTCCACCTTTTCTCTAACAAAATGATAGTCTAGCTCCACATGTTTGGTCCTCCCATGCATGATTGCATTTGATGCCAAAAACACTGCACTTTGATTATCCACCCATATCACAGGGGTTTTGAAAATCTCTATCCTAACTTCAGTTAGCATTGAATGAATCCATGTAACCTCAGAAGCAGCATGAGATAAGCTTCTATACTCTGCTTCAGTACTTGATCTGGACACTGAACTTTGTTTCTTAGAGCACCAAGATATCAGACATTTGCCAAGAAGAACACAATATCCGGTTGTGGATCTTCTATCATCTAAATCTGCCCCACAATCTGAGTCTAAGAAAGCTCTTAAATCAAGATGAGCTGACTTCCTTAAATGCAAACCATGATCTGCAGTTCCACCTAGGTATCTTAAAATTCTCTTAACAGCCTTCCAATGAGTATCTAAAGGATTTGACATGTATTGGCTCACTTTATTCACAGCAAAGCTCACCTCAGGCCTAGTTAAGGTAATGTACTGCAGGACTCCTACCACACTCCTATACAAGGTATGGTCTATTGTTGGGTTACCATCTTCCTTTGAGAGCTGCAGTGAAGATACCATAGGTGTAGGGACTCCTTTAGTTTCCTCCATATTGACTCTCTTCAGCAGATCAAGCACATATCTCCCTTGATTCAGGTGAAGGCCATCTGCACTTTTGCTTATTTGAATTCCAAGGAAGTGCTCAATCTCTCCCAAATCCTTGACAGCAAACATTTTTCCAAAGCTCTCAACAAACCTTTCTATCTCAGTTTCATGAGTTCCAGTTATCAAAATGTCATCCACATATATAAGAATAAAAAGGAAACTCCCCCTTTCTCTTTTAAAGAAAAGAGAACTGTCTGCCTTTGAATCTATGAACCCCATGAGTTTAAGAGCTTCTTTAACCTTGCTGAACCAGGCCCTTGAAGCCTGTTTAAGCCCATACAAGGCTTTGGACAGTTTACAAACTAGATCCTCTTTCCCTTTTTGCTCAAACCCTGGTGGTTGCTTCATAAAGATTGCCTCATTCAAATCTCCATTGAGGAATGCATTACTCACATCTATCTGCCTTATCTTCCAATCATAATGCACTGCTAAAGCCAGCATGATCCTTATGGTATTGTGCTTTACTACAGGGCTAAAGGTCTCTGTGAAGTCAAACCCTGGTCTTTGTGAATACCCTTGTGCCACAAGTCTAGCTTTATACTTAGAGATGCTTCCATCTGAATTCTTTTTTATCTTGAACACCCACTTGCAACCTACTATACTTCTCCCTTCTGGAGCTTTCACAAGACTCCAAGTGTTGTTTTTGTGTAAAGCATTCAGTTCTTCTTGCATTGCCAACTTCCAATGCTCAGATGAAATGGCTTCATTCAAGGAAGTGGGTTCAGTTTCTCCATATTCTGTGAGATAAGCTTTGGGTTTATAAATTTTTGCTTTTGTCCTTGTAATCATGGGGTGCTTTCTAGTTGGTTCCTCCCTTCCTTGCTCTTCATTTAAAGCAGTTAGGCCTGGTAGCTCCACATAAAGAGGTATTGCTGGGTGATTTGTACTTCTTGAGTTTGAACTCCTCTCAGAGGATGAAGTCCTCCCTTGAGTTTGTATACTTGTACTGCCATTTGGATTCTGATCAATAGAATGGGGTGTTGTTTCCCTTCTCATGCCTTGACTTGTTGAGGTATTCTTCTCAATGATTGGGATTCCTGGTAGGTTGTATACTTTTTCAACATCACCCTCAACACTGTCAGAATTTTTCTTTTCTGCATAAGGAAACCTTTTCTCATCAAACACTACATCTCTTGTGATGATCACTTTCCTGTTGGGCAGCAACACTTTATAGCCCTTGTATTGATTGTTGTACCCTAAGAATACTCCTGCACATGATCTGTAGTCCATTTTGTGCTTGTTATAAGGTCTAAGGTGTGGATAGCACAAGCATCCAAATACCTTGAGTCTCTTGTAGTTTGGTTTTATACCATAAAGTACCTCAAGTGGTATTTTGAAATTCAAGGGCCTACTGGGAATTCTATTAAGCAAATATGTTGCTGTGATAAAAGCATCTCCCCAATAGCATAAAGGCAAATGAGAGTGAGAAAGAAGAGATAACCCCATGTTAACTATGTCTCTATGTTTTCTCTCAGCCAAGCCATTTTGCTGAGGTGTATAAGCACAAGATATTCTATGCATGATCCCATTTTCCTGAAACAACTTAGACAATGCCTGATATTCTCCTCCTCCATCACTCTGAAAGGCTTTGATTTTTGTTCCTAATTGATTTTCAACAAGAGCCTTAAAGCTTGTAAAAGCACTGTACACATCTGACTTTGCCTTTAATAAGTAAATCCAAGTGAACCTGGAATAATCATCTATGAACCTAACATAGTAAACATAACCATTCAGGGATTTAACATGACAAGGACCCCACACATCACTATGTATCAACTCAAGTGGAAGAGAGCTTTTATGCTGAGAATGATCAAAAGGTAAAGAGTGGCTTTTTGCCATAATGCATGATCCACAAATATTATTTTCAGAAACTGCTCCATAGTTAAGGTTACACAACCTTAAAGCCCTCTTAACATAATCATAATTGGCATGTCCCAGCCTTTGGTGCAATAGTTCTAGACTATTACATTTACTTAATTCAGAGAAATAAGAAAAGGGCTGAGTCTTCAAAACTTGTGGATTTTCTTCACTTGACACTTCATGCTGTCCTTTCTTTAAGCATTGGAGACTGAATTGGTAAAGTCCCTCTTTAAGAACTCCCTTGAGCAGGACCTCTTGGGTTTGCTGGTCCTTATCAAAACAGACATTTGGATGAAACTCAAAGTACACTTTATTATCCCTTGCAAATTGTGATACACTAAGAAGGTTTATGCTGATCATAGGCACATGCAGAAGATTTTTTAAAATGAATACATTTGAGTGATCAGAATGTTGAATGAGGGAATTACCAAAGTGGCTGATGGCTGCACCTTCTCCATTCCCCATAAGAAGCTTGCTACCTCCAGTGTATTCAGAAGCAATGTTGAGATTTTCAAGATCATTAGTAACATGATTCGAGGCTCCTGAATCTGGGTACCAGTTAGTTTCAGATCCTATATCAGAATAAGTGCTTCCACCAGGCATTTGCACCATGTTCAGACTAGGGTTTCTCCTTGGTGGTTGTTGACCTTGCCCAGTGGCTTGTTGGCTAGGTTGAGCATCATACCTATACCAACACTTGTCTGCAGTGTGGTTCAAACCATGACAAATTTGGCATTGAGGTCTATTTCCTTGATTTCTTCCCCTACCTCTGCCTCTATAGGATCCTCTTCCTCCTCTTCCACCTAGTGGTGCATTTCTGTTTCCCTTGAATTGGTTGAAGTTCTGATTGAAGTTTCTTTGAGGATTTTGGGTGACAACAATAGCATATGGTTGAGAACCTTCAGAGTTAACAACAGAACCTTGATTCATTTCAAGCCTTGATTCATAGGTGAGCAATAGTGCATGAACTTCAGCTAGTGTGTGAGGAGGAAACCTTGAAGTGACATTAACCACCACTGAGTCATATTCAGAACCTAGACCAGTGAGGATATGTAGGATCTGGTTCTGTTCTGAAACTTTTTCTCCTGCAATGGCCAGAACATCACAATGGTTCTTGATCCTATTGAGAAATTCCCTCATGGTCAATCCTGCCTTTTTTAAAGTTTGAAGTTTAAGTTTGTACTGCATTATTCTTGCAGATGACTGGCTGGCAAAGTTACTTTCAATAGCATCCCATATTTCTTGGGCAGTATTCAGACCAACCATCATGACCAAGATTCCTTCACTTAAGGAGGACATTAACCAGGAAGCTAAAAGCTGATCTTGTCTAACCCAATAAAGATACTCAGGGTTGATCTGAGACTCACCATTTTCTGGATCTGAGGTGATCTTCTCTGGCTTCTTGGTTTCTCCATTGATGTAGCCCTCCACTCCATATCCTCGTATGGCTGTTATGACTTGTTGTTTCCAGATCAAGTAGTTGGTCTCATCTAACTTGGTTGAATGGCTGTTGGGTTGAACAAGAGATCCCATTGCCGCTGTGCTGGAATTTGGGTTGGCCATAGAGGTTGAAGAAGAAGTGGAGTGACTCATGGTGATACAAGTAAAAGAGAGAAATAAAAGAAGCAAAAATGATAATCAGAGGCAGGGTTAACCTGCTCTGGTACCATATTGAAAATACATCATAAACATTTTGGATCTTCGCAAACAAAGGAAAACGAAGAACCAATTTCAAAGGCGCCGCTGTTCATTCACGTACACAAGAATGTTTGATAGGTTTTACATGAGCTAAGAGAAAATATATATACACACATCAAGGGAGGATAATGTGGACAAGTGTCCATAATTTGAAATCAATCCTACGGTTCTAATAATTCCAAACTGTGAGTTTGATCACTTTCTGCAGCTTTAAGGTTGGCAGCTTTGTCTTGTTTGCATGTCCATGCTGGCTCGTCATTTTGCATGAGTAGGATATGCTTTTTCTTTGACTTAGTCCACAGATGCTTTTCTTCAATATTGCTAACAGTGACCCCCAACTCCTTCGACAACAACTACTACAGAAACCTGGTCCAGCGGCGGGGGCTACTACAGTCGGATCAGGTGCTTTTCACAAGTGGGTTAACCAACGCCCTCGTCAACATTTACAGCAACGATAGTCGGCGCTTTGCGGCCGACTTTGCGAGCGCCATGTTCAGGATGTCTGAGATTTTGCCGTTGGTGGGGACAAGTGGGGTCATAAAGAGGGTTTGCAACGCCCTCAGGTAAGGGATGTGGCTGTGCTGTCGGGGTTAGACGTTGAATAATAATTATAAAGCGACTGAAATGCGGTGGCTTTTATGTGATTTGTTTCCGTCTCGCTTAGTTTTCGTTTGTTGTCGTCTTGGTTTTAGTTTCGTGGTTATGTTTTATCGTTGACTTCGTCGTGTTGTTGAATTAATTAAGAAAATAAGCTAGTGTGATTTTTTGTTGCTTATCTGCTAATTACCAATTGTAATTGTGTTTTGTGTTTGTTGTTATTTTTCAGCTTAAATAGAAACAAATATAAGTAATTACATACTTAAATATTGTTTTCCGAGTTAATGCATTGTCCAAAATTAGTATTTGATTTATTTTTTTGTTCTCTTTATCCTAGAAATCGCCAAAAAAAAAAAAATCAGCTCGAAGTTCTAGTCATTCTTATGGACTAAGCTAACACAAAGGATCAATTTCAAACAAAATATATCAAGTTGGACATTATCAAGAAATGAGACATTATGTTGTATCTAACGAAAAAGATATAATTTAATTCTCAATTTAGTCGAAAAATATGCATTAATCACGACATCTAGATAGTCATGGCTATGGGCCGGGCCGGCCCGCCAGTTCGACCCGAATTGGCCTTTGGCCAATGGACCCGGACCCGAGCCCATAGTTTGACATGGGCAGTTTTGAATCTTGTGTATAAATTTCTCTGACCCGGTAGGTCTGGCCAAAACCGGCCCGGGGATGGTTCTGCTTCCGCGGCGTGTTTTCATTTTTTTTATTTTTATTTTTGGATCTTGTGGCCTGCCCGAAACCCCCACTACTTGATCGTTGACTCAATTAATTTGGGTCGTCGAATATATTTGACCATTTGAGGTTGTCCGGGTTTGACCTGGACCATCCAGCAGTCGCCAACTAACGGTCAGATTTGAAAATCTGGCCATTGGATCGTCTTGACCGTTGAGATCCAACAATCAAGATTTGACCGACCCGATTGACCCGTCAGGCGGACCCAGACCCGTCGGGTCTAAAAAAAACCGAAANNNCCCCAAATCAATTTTTTCATACATCTCACAACATCTACCTCTCTTTTCTATTCATTTCTAAGTTATGTTAGGACTAACAACTCAAAACCCAGTTCTCCATCAAGCCCAACATACAAGCCCAAATGGGGTTCAATTCTAAAATCAATTGGAAATATGTTGGAAATCAATCTTGTTCAGCTGCTTCAATCCTAGCCCTTGATCATGATGATGATGACATGTATAAAGAAAGGACACGAGCTCCATGTACTATGCAATCATCTCAGCCCTCAGATCACAACCAGTTAGCTAGGAAGCTTACAGCCATTGGATCAAGTCCTGACGTGTGCATGAAGACAACCATGCAGCTGTGAGGGAGAGAAAATGGTTTTACGCTTTTCTACTAGTTGTGGCATATTCCCTTTTAGATAAGGATAGGTGAATTGATTTAACCTAGGTAGCTTTGGTAGACAGCTATAAATATGTATAAGACTGCCATTGTCGCAGCATGACAATTAATGAAGAAACTTATTTTGAGCAAAAACGAGAAAAATCGAGCAAAAACGAGAAAAACGAGCAAAAATAAAAACAGGGGTCGAACGGGTCGTGACTCGCGAGTTGCGAGTCTGACGGGTGGTGGGGTTGGCACACGGGCTGTCCTGCGCCACTTTACATTCCGGGCTCGTTTGGGCTCGTCCGAACTCGGAATTGAGTTCCGTTTTTTTCTACGCGTCGCCAACGAACCCATATAAACAATTATGCTCTTGAAACCAACTTTTATTGAAAATAAAATTCTCCCAAAGCTCCCGACATACACACCAAAAATGACAAAACACGAAGAAAACCGGAAAAACAAATGAAAAAACACCTAAAGACTCAAATGAAGGAAAACACATAATAAAACACGAAACGGACTAAAAATAAAAGAAATGACCTAAAACGGGGGAAGATGAAAAGCAAAACGAGCACGAAAAATGCAACAAAATAGAACAAACAAAGGCCACAGATCGAAGAAGCCAGAAGTGAAAAAGTCAGTAGGGCGATGGTGACGCCGCAGGCACAAAGGATCGCCGACAGGTCGAGTTAGGGCCCTCTGATGACCTGGTAGAAACTCGACCTTAAGGTATGTAGGTCGATGATTGACATGAGAGATAGAACATCAGAGCTCAATGTAGAAGACAATCTACCTCGAAAGAAGTCAGGTTGGTCGCACGATTAGACCGTCTAATAAGGCAGATTAATGGATAAGAATGAATATAGTTAATATAAGAACTACACGTGAATTGGACCACGTGGCCTAACAGAATTAAGAAGTTTAGGCACCTGGAAAGTACGCAACGGGCCGTTTTCGGGTAGTCTTGAGCAACAAGGTAGCACCACTATATAAAGGGGTGAGGTACTTTCATTTACACTCTACACACTATTATATACTAACAAGTTATATTGGTATTGTTCATCATCTTTATCTTCATCACTGTGGAATGACTTTAGCATCAAAGTGCTCACCGCGTGGAACCTCCTTGAACCAGTTGAGAAGTCAATCCACGTCGTTCGGGTTTGGTTGAGGTCCTTTTACACACCAAATATATATCCTAAAATCAATTTATATTAGTATAAACGTATTAGCCGGATAATATAGTAATTAACTTATAGGCTAGCCATAACAGACTCAAGTTTAACGTTGTAGCTAAAAAATACAACACTCACTAAAAGACGTGAAAAATGAATGATCCTGCCCTATTGTTTTTTTAGCCTAAACAAACCGACTTGTGGGAATGACTCATTTAACATCTTTGTCTAATGAATCTAAATATAATAGTAAAAATTGTTTGTCCCATTTTTGTTGCTATTTTTGTCTATGTTTTGCATGTGTTTTCCCCCGTTTTAGGTTGTTTCTTATGTTTTTCCAGTCCTCTGAGTCGTTTCTCGTGGTTTAGTGTTATTCAGGTGTGTTTCGTGTTTTCTTTGTTTTTCTTCCTATTTTTCCTGCTTTTCGTGTTTGTCCGGTTTTGGTGATTTCAGGTCGTTCAGGTTCTCAGGTATTTCATCCTAGTTCGTGCCACCATGCAACAAAGGATTAAGTTTCTAGCTCAGGAAAGACCCGAGAGATGCTAGTCGAGAGCTCACGAGCCCAGAAAACCAAAAATCGGAAGCTGCCCAGGCCCTAGCGCCGCTAAGGGGTTAGCGGCGCTAAGGGAGTGAAAACTAGCGGCGTTTTGGCTTAGCGAGGTGCTAGCGACGCCAGAGACTTCACAGCAAAAAAAAGGGGGTTAGCGGCGCTAAGGGGTTAGCGCCGCTAAGGTCTACTTTTAACTAATCGCGTTTTTTGTGGGTTTTGAATTGGGAAGGCTACTAGTTCGAACTTAGGGCATATTTTCAGTACTCTGAGACTTTGTACTCGTTTTTCTTCATCTAAAAACATATTTCTCTCATCTTTTCTCTTAGATTTGATCTTGGATAGTGAAAACTCCAAGATTTTACCCTTGGATTTGGATTGCTCGTTGTTTTTCGACATTGGATTTATTATTAATCGTAAGCTTCTCTTTCATTTCATTGATGAATGTTATGGCTTTGCTTGATATGAATGTTGATGTTGAATTTGTGATGAGTAGCTAATTCCTTCTGCTAGGGATAGGGGATAATTATTCTTGTTTGATTCGTATTTGTCGGGCTTGATTTGTTCATGCTTATGTGAGTTAATATAATTCAGAATTGATGAATTTGTGCTTGATTGATTGATATAATCGAAGAGTGACACTTCGATCTTGCGATTGGAAACAATTGAATGTTAATTTGTCGAGTTAGGGTTTGTCAATTCTATATGATTAGTTGATTAATCACCTTCTAGTTGATTAGCGACTTATAGAACCGAAAGGGGAGAAGTCGTAGACCTAGGCTTGCATGAGATAGATAATTTCGTAACTGAATAATCTATGAGTTGAGATTGAAATACGTGCTTGTCTATGACCCGTCCTTTGTTACGAAAAGTTATTGGGATTGGGATAATTGGCTTGTGTTGTATGCTCGAGCTTGTTCGTCTATGTTCAATCCCTTGTTACGAAGAGTTATTAGGAGCGAACCGCTAGATGTTTAAGCGAGAGTGTCAATCTTGAACCGAACAATTGATTGCCCGGTTTTTGCTAAGAACTTGAATAAATTATCCCCAATTCCCTAGCTTTTCCATCTTTGTTCCGTTTATATTCTTAGGTAGATTATTGTTTTATTTTATTTCTTAGTTAATAATTCATCCAATCTGCCATCTGATTAGTGTGTTTAGGATTTATTTTCTTTTTGTGTGAAATCAATACCGAAGCTAAATTTCGAACCGCCTTCCTTGAGAGATCGACCCGGGGAACGAATCCTTCGATTCGGTACTCGGTAAAAATAATAATTTGTGCTACAACAAAAATAATACTAGTAAGTAAAATATCGCAAAGTGAATCGCAAGGGCTACATACTAGTAAAGATAAATAATACATGGTGAGTTGATTAAGGAAAAAAAAGGGACAAAAATAAATTGCATGTTTACCCAAATTGCAAGTAAAATATTTATGTCAAATACCAAACCAGATTCAAAATCAATAATTTGTATCTATATCTATATCTATACAATGGACCAATCCTTATTGTCATAATTGGCATGATTTTGGGCGGAAAATTTTTCGTCTATATTTGGCATTTAGTTAATATTTATTTATTAGCAAATCTTATGCATGAGAAACATAATTAATTTTTATACACTCAATGACTATTACTCATTAACTATAAATTGGATTAAATTGAATCTTTGACCGTAAATTTATTAGATATATTTTCAATATGATCTTATATTAATTTAAATAGTAATTTATTGACACAATTCAAAAAAATATTACGGAAATTGATTAGATTAAATATGTTAGAATCTATAGTTGTAGGTATTAATTTAACTAATTATATTCACTATTTAGAAGTACTTAAAATATTTATTAAAATAATCAGAACAACTATGTTTAAAATCATACTAACTTAATAAATAATTTAAAATATTAATAAAAATTTTCTAAATGTAGTCAATTTAACTATAAAAAGGTACATCCCAATTGAATATGATATATGCAGTGATAATACTATTCAAAATTTAAATAATATACTAATAAAAATAAAATTTGATGGTCGGGTGCAATTCAGAATTATAAATTTCACCTTAAAAGTATCTATGTACATTAAAAAACTATTCAATATTTAAAAATATATATTTTTTCTTATATACTATTTTGTAAATGAAAAATAAGTTAATGAACTAGCAATGTATAATAATTTAAATTATAGCACTTGGTAGTTATGAAAATATATATGAAATATATCTAAATATTTTAATAGATACTATGTAACTCATTATATAGGATGAAGAAATGAATTAAATAAAGAAATATAAATAAAAAACAAAAACATAAAAATAAAATATTTAACCATTATAAATTTGTGTGTTGCATAAGGATTAAAGTTACTAAAACTTAAAATTTATCTATCAAAACTTGTAACATTTAATGCACTTAATAATTATAGCGGAAGATAAATATTATGGGATAACTGTTGGTCAATTATCAAGCAATGTGCAAATTATAAATTATTGAAAAATTATAAGACTGATAAATGACAATTTTATAAGTACATACAAGTAATTTGTATGCAAATATCGTATAATCTTATACATTTATAATGTTTTATTAACTTATAAATAATAAAATGTATATATTAAATAGTAAAAAAATACAAATATATATATATAAATAGAAATTAATAATAGTAAATAAATAAATGTCATATTATTACTGATATTGTAGAGAATATAATTTCATGTCTTAAATAATTTTATAATAATTAAATAAAAAATATTTTTTTGTAATGTACCCCGTGCATCGCATGAGTATCAACACTAGTGCTTATAAAAATCAATTTACGAAGCACAAAAATTTTACCATATCAATATCCAATATGTGTGAGTCTGCCACTTATATTCAATATATACATCACCCCTATATATAATTACCGAATGCGTTGAGCTTAAGGATATGTTTGGTAAGCCAAATAAGCTAGCTTATAACTTATTTGGTTAGCTTATAAGCTTCTTGTATTCAAATAAGCCTCATTTGGTAGGACGAGCTCTTTTAAAAAACTCGAGCTTATCTCATATGCTACTTTAGGTAGCTTTTCAAATAAGCTAGTTGAATTTTTTATTTCAGCTATAAGTTATAAGCTCAAAAATTACACTATAGCTTATCAAACATAGCCTAAGTAGCAGACTCTCACTATTATGGCAAAAGATCGTGGTTCAGAGTTAGGCTTGGATATAAATTAATATTTTTATGCCAAAATAATTAGTTTTGGATTTCATTTAATGTATATATTATTCATATGAAATCCATAATTGATCTTTTCTTTTATTTCTTCTACTGTTAGTTACCATAAATTATTTTATGTTTCATTTTCCTACATTACCATATACTACATTTCCTTTTCTTATTTAATTGATATATCAATCATTATAAATGTCTTTTCTTCTTATGTTTAAATTTTTTTAAATTTTTTGTTTGTATTTTATTTTTCATTTATGATATATCAAATTAATTATCTCATAATGATCTTCGAATTGATATCTATATTATATATATATAATACAAAACATTGATATATATCCCTATAAAAAACATTTAAATTTATTTATCAAACTAGATTAAAAAATATCAAATAAAACTATAAATTATCTTATGAAGTAATAAAAATTGATGTATATTAACATACCATAGAATAGTCAAATTTATTTGGAAAAAAATATGTAAGCTAACTATGAACATCAAATTAATATAAAAAAAATTCTACGATTTATGCCGCAACTTAAATAAAGACTACATATAGAATGGACATTAAAATGATCTTGAAAAAAGAAAACCAAATAAACATTTTAACGGGAATAAAAAAAAAATATTATATTTCATATAGTTTAATCTAATGCACATTATATTTTAAATTATTTGAATATTATAAAGTTGAAGATATTTCAAAAGTTTTAGAAGATGGAAGAAAATTGTGTAAATATAAAATATAATTACAATATAATCCAACTTGAAAAAAACTAAATTCAAAATTAAATTATTGA